GTGGCAGTGAGTGCTCCCCAAAGCCCACCTCCTCGTGCTCAGTGCCAGCTCCCAACACTGGGAAGCTGGGTTTAGAGAGCCTTCCTGCCCACCTAACTGCCAGTCCTCTCCCTCCCATGGCCTCAACACAGTCATGTTCGCCTCACCCATCATGCCAGACCTCATCCTTCCTGGGCGTGGACACGTGGGGAGGGTAGCAGCCCCCTGGCCGGGGAGTCACGAAGCCTGGAGCCGGGGTCCCGAGGAGCAGAAAGGGCCATAAGCCAGCTGTGTCTGTTTTCTGGCCCTCTGTGTCAGCAAACGCCCTAATTCCTTCCATCTCGAGCTTGACCTTCTGGCTCTAAGATGGGGTCCAGTTTTGGTCAGCAGCATGCCCAGAGGCCCATGTGTCCATGTGCACCTGGGTCTCCTGCCTGAGTGTCTTTCTGGCTTCGATGCACTAACATCCCCAGCCCATCCTCTGGCCTTGAACTGCAGGCAAGTGCAAGGCAGGCCAGCATACTGTGTTCTTTGTGCCCGAGCACCCCTGTACTGAAGACTCGGTTCGATCCCGCTGAGGAACCAGCTGAAGGGTGGGAGGGGGCCCGCCCCAGGCCGGGCAGTCTGCTGTGGTGCTAGCTGCAAGCCCATCAGTGTTGACCCCCTTGCCACATCCTAGTGCTCCTGAGTCCCAAGATCCCCTTTCTCTCGGGTGTGCTTGGCCCAGGGGCCTGGTGATGGGGGCCACCCCTCCCTCAAGATTTGTGTTGGGCTGCCTGTGGGACCAGACTTTGTCCTTCTTGCTCTTTCCGTGTCAGTATTGCTCCCTCCTCCTTCACTTTTACACCCCTCTCATCGCTGTGCTCACTTTTTTCCTAAAATGAATAAAAGCTCCCCGGCTCCGGTTGCATGGGCCGGGCAGAAACCACATGGAAGCCTTGTCTCCTTTCCCCTGGATGCTGGGGCTGGAGCCCACCCCACCCACCAGTGTCCGCCTCGGTGGCTCCAGGAAGAACCTGGCCAGAAGTGAGGGGAGCCACAAACCAGCCAACAGGAAAACTTGAGGCCCTTGCAGTTGTCATGAAATTTCTGGGGCCCCAGACTATCTCCCTCAGCCTGCCTGAGCCACTCTGCTCTTGTTAACCCCAACCTGGGAGATCTTTCCTGCTGGCTATAAACAAACCCTTCCCCTTCACATAGCCAGCTTGAGCCCTGCGGGCCGGCATCTGTTCTTCCCATCCCGGTTCCCAGCAGTCCCCCAGGGACAGAGGAGGAAGGAGGAGTATTCCCCTAGGAGGAAAGGTTATTTCAGGAAAGCACAGCAACAGGGATCTGAAATCCCTCCTCAGCACGGTTGCCCACAGTCTCAGCACGGAATGCATGGTGGCTATAGCCACCGGTCTGGAGAGCACCTCTGGTTCCACCCATCACCCCTGCTCCAACTCCAGGCCCCTTCCCATGTTTAAGACTAGCCCAACCATGGCAACCGAACTTGCACAGAAATAGCTCTTAGACCCCACAGCCTTAGTTTTTACATGTACCCTTCTTTCCTCTGCTCTCCTTCCATTCAGCTGAGAGTAACACCTGAACTTGTAAGAAGAGGTGAGGTATTGCCTCCTCATTCCAGCCGATTCCCATTAAGTCCTGTGCTAACCAGCAAGACTCCCTCACTTCCAGGGGTATGGTGGTAAATCATGGCAGCCAGGAAGGGAGGCAGTCTGTTGGAATCCATGAATGTCTCAGACTGTATTCTATAGAGAGGCAGTTTTGTTCCTTACAGGCTCATTTAAGTCCAATTTAAATGATACCCCCAAAAAACCCCTTCAGTAAAGGTAACCAGAATCTGTGAATAATGTGGATTGTACACCTTTACCAAAAGGCAACATTATACTGTACACATTCAAGTCCAGCTAAAATACCCAGTCAGGGGTCTGTGGGTAGACTACAGTGATATGGCTCATTCACAGTGGGACCCCTGGATTGCTGGTGTACAGATGAGGGGGGTCAGTGCTGGGACCAGAGTCCATCATGAGTTCAGCAGGCTCACTGTGGACACTGCTTAGAACTGACAGGTAAATATCATCATGGACTTCCGAGAGGATCCAGACCCAACTTATGGTGTGTGGTGGGGGTGGGGGGTACCTCATTTCCTGCTGCCCTGTTTCCTCCAGGCTTTCAGCATGTCCCAGCCTCATTTAGGCACATGATTGATTCGTGTTGGACTTTGAGATGCAGGTGGCATTTCTTGGAGCCCTGAACATGGAGAGGTCGAAATCCTTGTCACCCCCATCTGTCAGTATCTGCCCTCCAGAGTGGTGGTCAGTGGTGACAAGAAGAGGTGGTCATAGCAAAGACCCAACCAAATGGCCCCGACCTGAGCTGCCTGCTCTTAGTGTTTGCCAAGGGACTATGGGACCAGCTGCTGAGGCTTGGCAGGTGGTGGAGATGGGCCACCTCAGGTTGGCCAGAGGGACAGCACTCTGGGGATATGCACTACCTCCAACCCCCAATAAGAAAGGGCTTGGTCATGGGAAAGATGATACCTCCCAGAATTTAAGTGTAGAGACTCCAGTCTTCTCTCCACAGCTGTGTATGGCCTCAGCAGCAGAGGACCTGAGGAGGCATGGGGCCGAAGGCAGAGTCGCCTTGGAAACATACTCGGTTCACACTCTCCTAACGGGGGTGGAAGCTGGGCCCTACCAGGCTCTCATCTGGCTGGTCCCTGCCTATAATAGTTTGGTTTCGTGCATTTGCTCAGGAAGGGGGAGGCGCACCAGGATGAGGCTGGAAGTGTTGGGCCGAAGGTCCACTCTCTCCTCAGGTGGAAACTAGACTGACTCCTGGGAGAAGAGAGGCCACACTGTGCATTACGGACCCAATCAAAAAACAACCCTCTGGTTAGTTGTTACACCAGGGCAAGAACTGGGAAGAAAAAACAAAGTTTAAAGACAACAACCAGCATCAGGCCAGTTGGTGGTTCCCTTCTCCCAGGCCCACCCAGCATGGGTCTGCCTCACAAGATAACCGGGCTCTCCTACTCCGGGAGAGGCTGTGTTCTGAGGAGTGTGGGGTGTCAAGGAATAAAGCAAAGGAGATCTTCAACTTACCCCTTTGGGAACTGGGTTTCCTCAGACGTAAATAAAGGCAATACATGAGCGCCAGCACTGCTCCCACATGGTGTGGTCGACCGACAGTGCGTGTGGAAGCACTGTTTGAACTTAATAAAAGCCTGTGCAAATGTTACATGACTCAGGAAAGCCTCCAGGCCAGGAAAGGGGCTCTGAGGATACACCTCAGAGCTTAGGGCTGCAAAATAATGCTTCGCCCACAGGCGAACCACGCAGCCGGGCTGGCGAGAACTACCCACCCTCAACGCCTACCAATGATACTCTTCAAGTCTTAGCATCCCTTGCTTGCCAAAGCCCAAACGGCACAATTTCAGGTCTGAAAATTCCTCACAAGTGGAAAAGATTATTACTTTAATTCCCGTTTCACCAAGATATAAACACAAGAAGGAATGAACTTACCCACAGTCAGCAAATGACCAAGCCAACGTGACAAGCGGTGTTCCTTATCCCTAGCTGTTTTCTTTTGGCTGAATCCCAGCCCCGGTGGTTCCACAGAAGCACCAGGTAACTTTAAATAATTCAGATTTTCAGAGGCTGATTCAGGCAAGGCTGGAAGTCACACCTAGTTTCAGGGCTTCCCATGGGCATGTGGGCTTCGTAGACCTGCTGCAGAAGGAGGCGGGAGGAAGATGAAAGTACCAGCGGAATGAGGCCCAGGAGGGAAACCTTTCCAGCAACAGATGGGCACAGTCCAGCTCTGACTCCAGAGTGCAGACAAGATGATCAGAAATAGGCACTGAACAAGGGGCAACCGGCAGGCACACGTCGTGCCTCACGCAGCTGTCGTGGCTTTGACCAGGAAAGCGCTGCTCACCCCACGTTCCGTACAGGCCCTCCTGAAATGCATGTGGACCAGAGGAAGGTATGGGGGCAGATGGAATGGGAATGAAAGCAGCTGAAAGAGCTGTTCTCTAGCTTGGTGAGGAGGGAGAAGAGAGCTGGACCCCAACAAAAGGCAAGGAAGGAGGCTTCTTCAGACCCTGTTCCTCGCAGGCCTCAGAGCAGCAGGGATAGGTGCCAATTATCACAGGGCGATTACACCTTTCTCAGGCCAAGCTTTAGGACCTGACAGTTCCGCCCAGGATCGGTCTCTTCCTCTCGCCCACCTCACTCTCCAGGCCTTCTCTCCCCCATGCCCCTCAGGGTCCTAACAAAATGATCAACAATAGGGGGGAAATGGTAAACCTTTATTCAGAAAAGAGAGCTTAAATGACCACTTAAAACCCCCATTTCATTTCCAAAACAGAAACAAATAAGAAAACAAGAAAAAGATCACCTATAAAACTCCTGCCCTCTGCCATCTTGAGCCGTCTTAAACTGCGTTTCCTGGCAGAAGAGAACAGTGATGGGCCACAGTCCTGAAAACCAATAGGACACTGACTTGAGACTATCTCAGGAGGTGCCCAGGGAGAGACGAACACAATGAACGATGGTGGGGGTGTTGTGGACAGGTGGGCCTGGGGCTCAGACAGGCACATGCCCAGTACCCAGGATACAATGTTCAAAAATATACACACACATAAAAATTCCCCAGTACCTGGGCATGGAAAGCTTATAACCATGAACACAGCAGCAGAATTCAGGCTGGGTCTTTGGCTTTTAAAAAAAGGGGGAGAGAACCTCTGGCTAACTGTCCCTAATTCCAGCCTCTCCGCCATTCCCTTCAGTCCCATTCTGGAGGCCGAGCGGGGCAACAGCAAGGCTAATCTGCAAGGACCAGCAGCTACTCTGAGTTGGGGGAGATGCGAGGAGCTGCTGGCCCAGGAAGACCCAGGCCACACCCCAGCTATGAAAGATTAAGGCATGCAGGTGATACATGTGGGCAAAGGGCGTCCCGAATAGGCCAGGGTGGAAAAGCACTGGCAATGAGCAGCTGAGGCCTTGCTCGCCAGAACTAACCCAGCGCTGCTACCTCGAATGCTCGGACAGGTTTCGCCCAAGGCCACCTTCTGCAGAGAGGGTCTGGCCTGAGCCACACATCAGGCTGTTTTAGGAGAAAATGGACAGGAATGGGGGAAGCAGCGAGATAAAAAGTGGTGGGAGGAAAGGAACAGTAAACAGCTTCCGAGGAGTGCAGAGGAAGGAGAACAAGTCCCTGAGGTCTTGGGTCCCAGCTGAAGTGTGGCTGCACAACCTGCCTGCTCTTACCCCCACCAGGCCTCCCAGCCCCCCAGTTCTGCGAGGGGCAGAATATAGTAAGACAAGAGTTTCCTGAAGGTTCTTTCTTGTCCTTTTAAACCTCAAACTCTTATTTCAGTCCTCCACTGACCCCACACAGGGCTTCACACTTGCACATCTCTCACAGCAGCCTGGGAAAAGGGAAGAGCCCTCGGGAAAGCATGCCAGGGCTGTGGGAGCTCTGGGTTGGAGGCTCAGAGGCTGCTGGGGCAGGTAGTGCATCCCTGAAGCTGCTGTTACAGGCTATGAGGCCCATTCATTCCCCGAGGCCAGATGAGGAGTATGGCCTGGGTGGCATGATGAACACCTCATGAGACACAGAGGATAAAAGGGGAGAAGGGCCCATGCCCCTGCCGCTGCCTGGCAACACACAGCTACCAGGTCATGCTCTCGACCTGTGAAGAGGCCGACAGCCCCAGTGTGGAAAGTGGGCTGGTAGGAGGCAGGCACGGCCTTACAGAGCAGTCCCACCCTGAGAGGACACATGCACGCTACACACCTCACATGTGTGTGTCTGGCAAGAGGGCTGGGCCCAGAGGTCATGAAAGCAGAAAGAAGACTGGGTTAGAAGATACCATCAAGAAACGGCCTGAAAGCAAATAACCAATGAGATCAATAGCTCCCGCAACCCTGGTAATTAAAAATTAAGGGGGAGCACTGGATACATGAAATGAAAGGGGAGCCCCCCTTCTGCCTCTCCCAGGGCCACTGAGTATGTGGCACAGGATTAGGAAGAGGTTGGGGCGGGGCAGGGACCACAGGCAGAGAACGTGGACAGGCCTGGAGAAAATCTAACCATGGGAAAAGGGAAATGGGGGAAAGGAGGGGAGGGGATGGGACTTAATTTTCTTGGATCTAAGTTTCCAGAAGTATGGGGTATTTCCACAGTCTCTGACCCAGTGAGCTCTTCTGGAAGAGAAGCTCTCTTCCCCTGGGAACCCCATCATGGGGTGGTGACTTCCATCCCAAAGCTGGCCAGCAGGCAGAGGTGGTCTGAAGAGCAGAAGGGGTTGGGTAAGCCGTTGGCAGCCCAGAGAATCTCTTCAGAGAGGAGGGAGAGACGGCCCAGAAGCTTGAGAGTCCCATCTTGATACAGCCTGCGATCTGGGGCACAAAGCAGAAGCCAGTGAGAGTGAGAAAGCAGCCACGGCCACTGCATGGGGTGACTGGGGCCTGTTGGGAGCTATGCTTTATGGAGGCGGCATCTCCTTGGCTACCCCGCTCCCCCTTACCTCTCCCAGCTGCCTCTGGCTGAGGCCTCCCTTTCACAGATACTCTGGGATTTATCATTGAATGAAGCAGGGTGGGTTCAGGGAGACTGTGGCAACCGAAGAATGGGTGCCCAGGCCCAGCATGTGTGAAAACTTTGGACTTTCTAAGAAAAGCTGGAAATCCAGATTTTCGACATAAAAGCTGATTTTTTAAACATAGGGAATCAATTCAAACATTTTAAAAGACATGCTTTAAACAAAACAGCCATGAGGCCGATAGGCTGCCACAGGCTGCCACACTGGGACCGCTGGTAGAAGGTGAAGAAACAAGAAACAGGGTCTCCAACCTAACCAAGTCCCTCACCAAATAGCTGCCACATTCAAAGTCCACTAACCTCCCGGTGCTCTATTTTTACCTCGTAAATAGAGATAAGGCTGGTTCGGCCCACCTCTCTCTAATGCTGCGAAGATATAAAGGCAGGCAAGTGGCCTAATAAGGGAATTATGATGAGGATGACTAGTGCCAGGTAGATACGAAATCTGCTCTTTTGGGAGTCTGGTCCCAGCAGCCCAAGCCATGTGACCAAATGCCTGACCTTCACCATCAGCTGTTCCCAGGGACTTCTGAGGTGGCTTCTATGAACCCAGGATCCACCAGGCTTACCAGTTCTGTTCCCATTCTCGCAGGGCTCAGCTGAGAAGAAGATGTAATCCACTGTTGTTCCAAGACCCAAGGGCATTGTGGTGACCTCTGGGCGGCCATGCTGGGGCAGGAAATGAGTATATACTGAGGTCAGGTGAAGGCAGTGCTGGATGGTGCCTACAGTCCTGCAGGGATGAAGAGGAAGAGGTCAGTCAACAAACATTACTGACCTTTTCTCAAAGTCACTTCCTCTGTGGGTTTTATAGTTTTTTAAGGGTCAATCCCAACTAACTCTATCTCAGCAAATTCCTTCCCATGCTAATAAGAGGCAGATGGTCTTAGCTAAAATCAGCCTAGAAATAGACACATTTATACACAGTCCCCTGACCTTCCTCACCCCACCCCCATCCCACTCTCCTCTCATTACCTGGTGAAGTATACCTAATGTACCCTGTCCAGGGGTCAGCAAGTTCTTCTGTGAAGCCTTCCCCCCTGAGGAAATGTGCATGGGTTCTTCATCTGCAAGAACCTAGGTGGGTCACCTCTGGCCTCTGCACACCAGCCCTACCAAAAGCTTAGCACGTATTAGAAGAGACCTCAGCAAAATTGCCCCCCAAATCAGCCTGAGGAAAGCCAATGAGAATCTCTCTTGTTCACCCAGATGGGGGCTGGAAAGCAGGCTGCAGGGAACCGGAAGGAAGATCACCTGGGGAAGACAGGCTCAGGCTCCAAAGTGTCTTCCTCAAGGACAGACGGGGCCCAGGCAGCAGGTCGCTCTGTAGAAGACCAGAAAGAAGAGATTTTTTTATTACCAGACAGTGAAGCAGGGTCAGAACCTTGCACCCTGGGACCCCTCTCAGATCCTTGGACCAGATTGCGCCAAAAGGGGAAAGGGTAAGAGAAGAGGTGACGGGACAAAGAAAACAATGGATCAACATTGTAGGAAGGCAGACAGAGACCTTGAACACAGACATTTCTTCCTTGGCCCAGCACCTTTTTAAATAATTTATTTAAATTTATTCTTTAGAAATAAATTTATTTTTTTAGGTAATAGAGTCACATGGTACAAAAATCAAAATGTAGAGAAAAATATCAGTGAAAAGTCTCCCTCCCATTCCGGGACTCCTGCCACTCAATTTCCCTCTCCAGAAGCAACCAATGTTACCAAATCCCTGGTATATTCCTTCAGAGATTTTCTATCACATACCATCTGCTGTGTATGTATATATGTATGTGTGTAATATACATATATATGTATGCACACAATGTAATATGTATGTATACATTCTTAAATACACAAAAATAAGTACACACACACACATGAAGAAAAAAGAAAAATATACATAGTATCAGGAAAGAAAGAGGGGATATTATTACAGATCCTACTGACATTAATAAGTGTTATGGACTGAATGTTTGTGTCTCCCCAAAGTACATTGAAATCCCACCCCTCAGTGAAATGGTATTTGGGAGGTGGGCCTTTGGGAGGTAATTAGGTCATGAGGGTGGAGCCTTTGGGCATAGGATTAATGCCCTTACGAGAGGCTTGGATCCCAGAGAGCTCCCTCACCCTCTTTCTGCCATATGAGGACACAAGAAGTTAGCACTCAACAACTCAGAAGAGGGCCCTCACCAGAACTGGACCATTCTGACACCCTGATCTTAGACTTCCAGCTCTAGAACTGTGAGAAATAAATTTCTGCTGTTTATAAACCGTCTAGGCTGTGATATTTTGTTATAATAGCCCAAACCAACTAAGACAACAGGGTAAAAAGGGTCAACAAAACTGACAAACCCTTGCTAGACTGACCAAAAAAAAAAAAAAAAAAAAAAAGTTACTAAGTTACTAAAACTAAGAATGGAAGAAGGGCCACCACTACCAACCCTACAGAAATTTTTAAATTATGAGAATAATATAAACAACTATATACCAACAAATTTGATAACTTAGATGAAATGAACAGATTTCTAAAAAGATACAGGGGCGCCTGGGTGGCTCAGTGGGTTACAGCCTCTGCCTTCAGCTCAGGTCATGATCCCAGGGTCCTGGGATCAAGCCCCACATCGGGCTCTCTGTTCAGCAGGAAGCCTGCTCCCCCCACCCCGCCAGCCTCTCTGGCTACTTGTGATCTCTCTCTCTGTCAAATAAATAAATAAAATCTTAAAAAAAATAAAAATAAAAAGACACAAACTATGTAAACTGATTCGAGAAAAAATAGACATTCTGAATAGCCTATAAGCAAGTAAAGAAATTGAATTAATAATTTAAAAAGTTTCCACAGAGAAAAGCCCAGGACTAGATGGCTTTACTGGTTAATTCTGCCAAACATTTAAAGTAGTAGTAATACAGACACTTCATAAACACTTCTAAAAATTAAGATGGGACACTTCTCAACTCATGCTGTGAGGTGTTACTCAGTTAATCAAAATTAGACAAAAACATCACAAAGAACACTATAGAATATCCCCTGTGAATGTCCATGCAAAATTCCTCAATGACTATGACATTATAATTTATAAGAAATATATATTTGGTCTTGTCCACAGCTCCTGACTCATAGCTCCCCAAACCCTTAGAATTTCTCAAGAGATCAGAGTGATAAAGGTGTCTTTTGTTATATTATGAGGTGACTTTTGGAAATCACCTAAAGATGAGGGCTGGTTACCAGAAGAACCAACCTCTTATTAGAGGGTTGGAAATTTCTGTCCCAATTCCCTAAACTTCCTGGGAAGGAAGTGGGCTGGAGCTTGATTCACCAATAGCCAATGATTTAATCAAACTTGCCTATGTAGCAAAGCCTTCAGAGAGCTTCTAGGCTGGTGACTACATGGAGATTTGGGGAGAATGGGGCCTACAGAGAGCATGGAAACTTCCCAAATACATTGTCCTATGCATCTCTTCCATCTGGCTTGTTCCTAAGTTTTATCCTTTTATAATAAACAGGTAATCTAGTGAGTAAAATGTTTCTCTCAGTTTTGTGAGCCATTACAGCAACTTAATTAAACCCAAGGAAGGAGAGAGTCATGGGAACCTCTGATTTATAACAGCCGGTTGGTCAGAAAGTACAGTTAACAACCTGGACTTATGACTGGTATCTAAAGTCCAAGCAGGAGGTTGCTGGAAGCACAGGGTGGGTTTGTGATGGGTGTCTGAAGTTGGGAAGTGGGGGAAGTCTTACAGGACTGAGCCTTTATTTCACCTGTGATATCTCTGGGTAGATGGTGTCAGAATTGAATCGAGTATAAACACTCTCCTTCCTCATGTTGAAAATTAAGTCTCAGAACACCAAAACAATATATCAGCAAACCAAATCCAGCAAAATAAAAAATGATTATATACTATGACCATGTACAATTTATCCTAGGAATGTAAGGCTGGTTTAGCATCTGAAAAATCAATTAATGTAATATAGTATATTACTAGATTACTGACAGATAAAAATCACATGATCATCTGAACACACAGAAAAACCATTTGACAAAATTCAACACTGCTTTATGGGGGGGAAGAGCAATATTAAAAACTAAACACAGGAGATGCCTGGGTGGCTCAGCTGATTGAGCGGCTGCCTTCGGCTCGTGATCCCGGCGTCCTGGGATCGAGTCCCACATCGGGTTCCTTGCTCAGCGGGAAGCCTGCTTCTCCCTCTGCCTCTGCCTGCCACTCTGTCTGCCTGTGCTCACTCTCTCTGACAAAAACAAACAAACAAACAAACAAACTAAACACAGAAGAGAACTTCTTGGGGCGCCTGGGTGGCTCAGTCATTAGGCATCTGCCTTTGGCTCAGGTCAATATCCCAGGATCCTGGATCGAGCCCTACCATCAGGCTCCTTGCTCAGCAGGAAGCCTGCTTCTCCCTCTCCCACTCCTCCTGCTTGTGTTCCCTCTCTCGCTGTCTCTCTCTGTCAAATTAATAAATAAAATCTTTGGAAGTAAAGAAAAAGAAGAAAACTTCTCCAACCAGATAAAGAGAATCCACAAAAACCCCAGGGCTCACATCACACTTAATTCACAACACACTTAAAAGCTCTACCCCTAAGATCAGGAACAAAGCAAGGATGTCCACTCTCACCACTCAACTTTAGAGAGGCCTAGCCAGGGCAATCACGGAAGAAAAAGAAATAAAAGGCATCCAGATTAGAAGGGAAGAAGTAATGCTCTTTCTGTTTGCAAGATGACATGATCTCTTATACAGAAACCCTAAGAAATCCACTAAAAAACTATTAGAATAAATGAGTTCTCAAGACTGCAGCATAGAAGATCAATATACAAAAACTGCATTTCTATACATTAGCAGTAAAAATCCAAAAATGAAATTAAGAAAACATTTCCACTTACAATATCAAAATGAATAAAATAGTAATAAATTTCACAAAAGCGTAAGACTTACACACTGAAGACTACAAAACATGGAAAGAAATTAAAGATTTAAATAAATGAAAAAACATTGATGTTTATTGATCATAAGATAGTATTACTAAAATGGCAATACCGGGGCGCCTGGGTGGCTCAGTGGGTTAAAGCCTCTGCCTTCAGCTCAGGTCATGATCTCAGGGTCCTGGGATCAAGTCCAGGATTGAGCACTCTGCTCAGCGGGGAGCCTGCTTCCCCCTCTCTCTCTACCTGCCTCTCTGCCTACTTGTGATCTCTGTCAAATAAATAAAATATTAAAAAAAAAAAATAAAATGGCAATACCTCCCAAACTGATCTACAGATTTCTAGAGCCCTATCAAAATCCCCCAACTAGCTTCTTTGCAGAAACTGACATGCTGATTCTGAAATTCATATAGAAATGAAAGGGACTCAGAATAAACAAAATCTTGAAACCCCACCAAGTCATAGGATGTAACTTCTCTATTTCAAACTAATACAAAGCTAAAATAAGACACTGTGGTACTGGCATAAGGATGGACATAAAGTGAATGGAATAGAACTGAGTGTTCAGAAACCTGCAAGGCCATGTTCAATTAATGTTTCACAAGGGGAGGGGTGAATGGACAATGACTGCTAATAGATATCGGGTTCCTTTCAGGAGGGATGAAAATGTTCTACAATTAGATTGTGGTGATGTATACACAATTCTGAATAGAATAAAAGCCAATGGCTTGCACATTTCAAATGGGTAGATTTTATGATATATGAATTTCATCACAGTAAAGCTGTTTTTTAAAAAAAGGGTAAAGGAACGTTATGGACAATTTCATGCCAAGTAATTTAATAATTCAGATTAAATGGGATATTCCTTTATATACTTTACATTTTCCCTGTTGATTTTTTTCTTTTTTGTTGGCATTATAAATAGGGTCTTTTTTTTTTTCATTATTATCTCTTAACAAGTATATCCTTATTTTTATACACAAATACTATTGTTTTTCTGTATATTCACATTATACCAGCTACTTTCCAGAATTATCTCAATGCCTGTAATAGCTGTTAGTTGATTCTCTTGGATTACCAGTTATCTAAAAACATGAGCAGGTAATTAGCCCCTCCCCTCCATTTTGTTACTTCTGTTTTCCCACCCACATTTCTGTTTCTCTATCCTTGGCTGGCATCTTTGAATATGGCTGAAAAACAAGAGTGGCCATCCTTGTCCTATTCCTGACTTTGACAGGAATGCTACTACAGTGTCTTCTTTAAGCCAGATGCTGATACGTGGAGCTGAGTAAGTGCTGTGGTTTGGTTTCGGTTTTTAATTTGCAGGCCTTCAGTAGCTTCACTCCCCTCCTCCTGCCCCTCACCTCTGTGGCACATTGTTGCCAACATGCACTCTGA